AAATTAGAAGCCAGTAGATTTCTAACAGGACCGATGTTATATGGCATCTAAAATATATACCTGATACCAGTATGGCCCTGCTCTCGATCCCGCCTGCTTCACAGGTACGTCTGGCAGGGACGAGAGACAGGGTCTTCTCAGTGGTGGCCCCTCGGCTGTGGAACTTCCTGCCTAGGGATATTAGATCGGCCCTCTCCCCCCTGACCTTTCAAAAAAGAGTGAAAACCTGGCTCTTTGACCAAGTGTTTGGAACTTCAGCATGACTAGATAAACTCAAATTGGAAAATGAATTAGGAATGGCTAAGACTATGGAACAGTTGAGGATTTGAACAAGAAGACATAGTTTTTATAATTTTATTGTTATTGCTTTATGGTTTTTAAATGTATTGTAATGTGATTTTTTTTCTTTTAACCAATGTATGTATTTTTATATGGCATCTAATTGTGCCAATTTGTACGCCGCCCTGAGTCACCTTTGGGCTGTAAATAAATAAAATAAATAAATGTGGCTGCTGCATTGTACTGCTTCCAATAGTTTTCAAGGGCAGCCCCACATAGGGTCAATTAAGGTAGTTTCATCAAGAGACACAGTGAGTTAGACCCTTGTGCTGGCAGGACTGAAGACTGACAGGTTGTAGGTTAGAATCCGGGGATAGAGTGGATGAGCTCCCTCTATCAGCTCCAGCTCATGCGGGGACATGAGAGAAGCTTCCCACAAGGATGGTAAAACATCAAACATCTGGGTGTCCCCTGGGCGACGTCCTTGCAGACAGCCAATTCTCTCACATCAGAAGCAACTTGCAGTTTTTCAAGTCACTCCTGACAGGAAAAAAATCAAGAGGTCTAATCTAGGTTAACCCTCAAATAGTTCTAAGAAAGCGAACCATATATGTATGCATTTTATCTCCTCCACAGTTTTTATTGGCACGCTCAGTTGAAAGATGTTGTGCAAAGCCAATCACTCTCCACTTGTAGCCCCCATTACTGCCTCTGTCATTTTTCTTGTCTCGGAAAATCCATTAGGCAGGAAAAATGGAAACACTGCAAAGGGCTGTCTAACTTCTAAACTAATGCAATGGCATCTGAAAACCTCTCAAATATAGTACAGAAAGATAGATGTGGTCTTCCTCAGCGTCTGCTCTATATCAGTGTTACTCAAAGTGGTGATCCCTGGAGCTGTGTCACTCCCTGAGCCACTGGCTGCTGGTCTCTGGTAAGTTTCCAGAAAAGAAACAATGTTAGCCAATGGATGGAAATATGTGCTGATCCCTGGAACATTGGGAAAAGACTGCTTGTCCTCCCCATCAGACAGCTCGAGAAGAACTGCTCTACGTAATCTGGCTGATCTAGCTGTGTACAAAAGAGTACACAGTAAAACTATGGATAGATAAAGCAGAATATCGACAAAGTTACAAGGATGCAGGATAGAACAGACAGCCTTGCTTTTCCTTACTGCACGTACAAATAGCCTTTCTTGGTGAATTAGCTCAATGCATTAAGATTGCAGGCAAGGTATTGCAATGGAAGATGTTTTGAAAGTTAGAAGTTGAAAGGTTAGCTGGATTACAAATCCACGAGCGTGTGTGCTAGGTTGCTTTTAGGAAAGTGTTTCTGATTACTGTTGAAAGGAACAACCTCTGGAATCCCTTGCCCTAATGGTTTCTAATTCTGCATCTACATAGTAGAATTGACCTGGTTTAGCTCCACCTTAACTGCCATGGATCAGTGCTTTGGATTATTGGGATTTGTAATTTGGTGAGCCACCAGTATTCTTTGGCACCGAAGATTACAATTCCAAGGATTCCACAACACAGCCATCTAAATTCAAGTGGTCATAAATCGCATTCATTCTACAGTGTAGACAAACCCAAGAAAGCCCTATTATTTATTTATTTATTTATTTACAGTATTTATATACTGCTTTTCTCACCCCTGGGGGGGCTCAAATCGGTTTACAACATATTATAATAATAATATTATTATTACAACATACTAATGGCAAAATTCAATGCCAGACGTACATGTAAAAGTCCATAATAACGAAACAATAACATATAGCTTTAGGTAAAGGTTTTCCCCTGACATTAAGTCTAGTTGCGTCCAATTCTGGGGGTTGATGCTCATCTCCATTTCTAAGCCAAAGAGCTGGCGTTGTCCATAGACGCCTCCAAGGTCATGTGGCCGGCATGACTGAATGGAGTGCCTTTACCTTCCCACAGAGGTGGTACCCATTTATCTATTCACATTTGCATTTTTTCCCAAACTGCTAGGTTGGCAGAAGCTGGGACTAACAGCAGGAGCTCACCCCACTCCCCGGATTCAAACCGCTGACCAGAGGGCCTAACGTACATGTAAAAGTTCATAATAACGAAACAATAACATATAAGTATGAGTTAAAATCAATTAAGCCCTAGACAAGCCATTGTGGGAATGGGTGTTTCAAGGAAAGTATGCAGCTGTTGATTGACGGCAAATGCGACCACCCCTAGCCAGCATAGACAGTAATGAGGAATGCTGGGAGCTGCAGTCTAGACATATCTGGAGGAGTACAGGATTCCTACCCCTGCTCTGCAGAATCCTTTGCACTGCAGACTGTTCTATAGCACCTCCGAGGTTCTTTCCAACGCTGACATTCAATAACCCTGGTAAAACAGTGTTGGCACATGCTGGCTCCTTGCTCAGATTCCTAAAAACCCCGATTGGGTGGAAGTTCAGCAGGGCAAGTGCTGTGAAGTGGCAACGCAATACAAAGACTCTGAACAAAACATAGGGATTCCTTCAGGGAAAATTATATTCCCACTCTCTCTGTGTCAAACATACAGAAGCAAGAATGCAAGTGATGCATCTGATATCATTGCACTAACTCTTCTGGAAGGTTAACACTTTCCTCGCACCTGTCCTGCCTTTTAACCCAGCTCTTGAGTCTTACCCGGCCACTGACCCAGGGCTACAGCTTGTCAGAAATAGTAATCTCCGATCTGGTGAACTGCAGAGGGGTAAGCAACTCAGCAGAGGCGAATCTAGATTCAGGATGAACATGTAAGCCTGAGAAGTCAAGCAGAAACCCTTTTCAGGAGGGACCTCTGATGAAAGTGTGCCCAAATGGGCAGAAGTACAAAGGAAGGAGGAGAGGGTGAAATAGGGAAAGAGTAATATGGGGGAGGGGAGAGTGGAAGAAGCTCTCTTTGGCTACATCTACACTGTAGCATACAGTTCGACATCCCTCAAACAGCCATGGTTGAATGCTACGGAGTCCTGTGCATCACCATAGCTGGAAACTATTATAGTTTGGGTTGCTGTGAGTTTTCCAGGTTTATATACAGACTAGCCATCCCCTGCCATGCGTTGCTGTGGCCCATCTGTGTATATGTACCTTGTGTGCGTATATATTTGCATATATATGTGGTTTTGCACATGCGTTGTAATGTATTTTTAAATTCTTTTGGCTTTTTAAGTCTCTTCTGCTGTGTTTTTCAGTGTTTTTATGAGTGATGGTCACTCATTGGCCTGATACGTGTATTGTGTCCAAAATTGGTGTCAATTCGTCCAGTGGTTTTTGAGTTATGTTAATCCCACAAACAAACATTGCATATCTATTTATATAGATCTATAAACCCCACTTGCCTAGTTTCCAACAGACCTCACAACCTCTGAAGATGCTGGCCCTAGATGCAGGTGAAACATCAGGAGAGAATGCTTCAGGAACATGGCCATACAGCCCAGAAAACTCACAGCAACCAAAGGAATTCAGTCTGCACTGCCATTGCTTGAAACTATTATAGTTTGGGCTGCAGTCTGCACTGCTATTGCTCGAAGCTATTATAGTTTGGGTTGCTGTGAGTTTTCCAGGTTTATATACAGACTAGTTGTCCCCTGCCACACGTTGCTGTGGCCCAGTTTGTGTATGCATGCTTTGTGTATATATTTGTGTATATGTGTGTGCTTGCATATATATGTGTGTGTGTGTGGTTTTGCGCATGTGTTGTAATGTATTTTTTTTATTTTTTTGGCTTTTTAAGTCTCTTCTGCTGTTTTTTCAGTATTTTTATGAGTGATGGTCACTTGTTGGCCTGATACGTGTATTGTGTCCAAAACTAGTGTCAATTCGTCCAGTGGTTTTTGAGTTATGTTAATCCCACAAACAAACATTACAATTCTAATTATATAGATCTATAAACCCCGGTGGCACAATGGGTTAAACCACTGAGCTGCTGAGCTTGTTGACCGAAAGGTCACAGGTTTGAATCTGGGGAGCGGCATGAGCTTCCGCTGTCAGCCCCAGCTTCTGCCAACCTAGCAGTTCAAAAACATGCAAATGTGAGTAGATCAATAGGTACTGCTCCAGTATGTGAAGGTAACGGCACTCCATGCAGTCATGCTGGCCACATGACCTTGGAGGTGTCTACGGACAATGCTGGCTCTTCGGCTTAGAAACGGAGATGAGTACCAACCCCCAGAGTCGGACACGACTGGATTTAATGTCAGGGAACAACCTATAAACCCCACTTGCCTAGTTTCCAACAGACCTCACAACCTCTGAGGATGCCTGCCATAGATGTATGCGAAACGTTAGGAGAGAATGCTTCAGGAACATGGCCATACAGCCCGAAAAACTCACAGTAACCCAGGGATTCCGGCCATGAAATCCTTCGACTATATATTATAGTTTGGAGACACAAGCGCCCTTTGGCTGTGAAGCAACCTCCCAGGATGCCATAGCATTGAGCCATGGCAGTTAAAGTGAGGCCAGGCTGCATTTCTCCTGACCCTGAGCTGCTGGAGATACACATATACCTGAAGCCAGCGGCAGGAGCAGCAGCTAGAACACTAGAACCCTGGAGCCTAGAAGAAGGCGCTCTAGTCCAAGAAGGAGCCCTGGTTGCTTCTGCTGCTGCTTCTTCTTTCTTCCTTGAGGAGGGGCGTCCCCACTACTCCTCCTCCTCCTCCTCCAAGGGACTACCCAACCCCCCTTCTTCTTCCGACCGGGTTCCTCCACCTACCTGGCCGTAGTAGGGCTTCCTGAGCCAGGCCCCGGCGAACAGCCTCCTGGCCATGGCAATGGCACATCCCCGCAGCGGGCTGCAGCAGCAGGAGCCGAGGAGGGAGAGAGAAGCCAGGGGAAGGCAAGGCAAGGCAAGGCAAGGGGTCTCCCTCTCTCTCTCTCTCCCTCTCTCTGCCTCGGGGCCGAAGCCTGGGCGGACGAAGAGGGGCTGCAAGGCGGGCTTGGTTGGGCTCCCTCCTGGCCAGCTCCGCCTCCCTTGGCAACTGTCACACAAGCAGAAAGGGGAGGGAAAGGAGGAAGGAGAGAAAGAAGGAAGGAAGGAGAAAGGGAGGGAGGGAGGAAGGAGGCCCTGTCTTCTCCTCTCCCCACTCGGAGGGGGAGTGAGGGCAGCCTGGAGAGGAGGAAGCAAAAGGGCCCGGCACCGCTTCGCCTGCCCCCTCCTCCTCCACCTCTATTTAAAGGGGAGGGTTGTTCCGGTGCGGGAGGGAAGGAGGGAGAGGGAGGGAAGCAGGCAGCCCGCCCGCCTCCTCTTCTACATCCCTCCTTCCCTCCCTCCTTCTTCCTCCCTCCTCCACGCAGCCTGAGCATCCCTTAACCGCAAAGCGACCCCCAATTGTCCCCAAGGCTTTAGCTCAGGCAGTGACACCCTTGCCTTGGAAAAGGGCAACTTTCAACTGGCCCAACCTCACTGGTTAATATGAGATGTTCAGGCAGTCCCCGAGTTGCAAACATCCGACTTACCAATGACTCAGAACGGAGGCCAACTTTCAATGGGAACAACGTCATTGACTATACTGGGTATGCAATGTCCTCAAGTTGCATACATCTGACTTACTAATGACTATCCTAAAGTCACTCCACTGGCTGCCAATTAGTTTCTGGGCAAAGTACAAGGACCATCTTAACAGCATCCACCCAAACATCCAATTCACCATGGAAAAAGAAAATGAAGGAAGACTGCCTTTTCTAGATGTCCTAGTCAGTCGTAAACCAGATCAACAATTGGGTCACACCGCTTACAGAAAACCCACACACACAGATAGATATCTACATAAAAACTCCAACCATCACCCAAGTCAAAAAAGAAGCACCATTAAAGCCTTGGCAGACCGTGCAAAAAGAATCTGTGAACCCCACCTCCTCCAAGACCATAGAGGGAGATATGTTCAGACGAATAAGCTGATTACCTTCAGTTACTCTTACTTCCTATTACAGGGAAAACCAGCTGATTCCTAATCCATCTAAAACACAGAGGTATGCTTTCCATTTTAAGAACAAACATCTTGAGTTCTGAGGATTACCTGGGAAGGAATCCCACTGGAGCATTGCAGCACACCAAAATACCTTTGAGTTACCCTGGACTGTGCTCTGACCTACGAGAAGTACTGCTTGAATATCAAGCAAAAAGTGGGTGCTAGAAACAATATCATACGAAAGCTGACTGGCACAACTTGGGGATCACAACCAGACAAAGTGAAGACATCTGCCCTTGCGCTTTGTTACTCTGTTACTGAGTACGCATGCCCAGTGTGGAACACATCTAACCACACTCAAACAGTGGATGTGGCTCTTAATGAAACATGCTGCATTATCATGGGGGAGTCTGCGCCGTATACCACTGGAGAAATTACACTGTTTGGCTGGTATTGCACTACTTCTCATCCTCCGAGAAGTAGCAACCAATAGAGAAAGGACCAAAACAGCAACATCTCCGTTCCATCCCGTGTTCGGATATCAGCCAGCACACCAATGAAATAGTTTTCTAAGTTCTACAGAGACACTCGCTAGTACACCTCAGCAAGCGAGAGTCCAAAAGTGGCAGGCTCAAACCCAGAACCTCAATCAATGGCTGATACCAAATGAGAGATTCCCTCCTGGGCACACAGAAAACTGGGCGACTTGGAAGGCGCTGAACAGACTGCACTCTGGCACCACGAGATGCAGAGCCAACTTAAGAAATGGGGCTACAAAGTGGAATCCACGACATGCGAGTGTGGAGGAGAGCAAACCACAGACCACCTACTGCAATGCAACCTGAGCCCTGCCACATGCACAGTGGAACTCCAAGTGGCCAGCTACTGGTCAAAGGACATTTAGTATAATACCAAGTTTTTTAAACTTTGTGTTTTTAAATACATTACAACTGTACCCTCAGTTTGCTTCTGATATGATAAATAAACCTTCAGGATCACCTTCTCCCATACACTGAGATCCTCTGGGGGGCATCTAGTCCAGCTTTCCTGAACAGAACTAGCAACACCACTCAGAGGACCTTCCCATCAGCTGCCCCGAGACTCTGGAATTACCTGTCAGTAGAGTTCTGAGAGTGCCTTGGACTGCGAGAAGATCCAACCAGTCCATCCTCCAGGAAATAAAGCCCGACTGCTCACTGGAGGGAAAGATACTAGAGACAAAGTTGAAGTACTTTGGCCACATCATGAGGAGACAGCAAAGCCTAGAGAAGACAATTATGCTGGGGAAAGTGGAAGGCAAAAGGAAGAGGGGCCGACCAAGGGCAAGATGGATGGATGGCATCCTTGAAGCGACTGGACTGACCTTGAGGGAGCTGGGGGTGGTAACGGCCGACAGGGAGCTCTGGCGTGGGCTGGTCCATGAGGTCACGAAGAGTCGGAGACGACTGAACGAATGAACAACAACAACAGAGTTCTGACAGCCTGGAAAACTCACAACAACCCAGTGATTCCAGCCGTGAAAGCCTTTGACAATATATTGAAATATGCATTTTTTAAAAATAAAAATATCACTGTAATCAGATATTACCACAAAAACATTTTTAATACTAGCTTACATGTCTCTACAAGGCAAAAACCATTGTGATTAACTTTTTGAACCTTCTAATGCACATGAATCCTGTCAAAACTGTCATGATTACCCAATTTCAATAACACTTTGAATCATTTGTTTGCATTCAATGTCATTACAAGCATGCACTGCTCTTTTCACTGTTACTTTTTTAAAAAAGTTGCTGATTTGGCACAAATTTTGTGGTATTTTAACCACAATATTGTGGTATGGTCTGGTGCAGAAGGAGGTCCAGGGCTGACACCATGAGTTACTGTACTAGGTGACACCAAGTGGCTCCACTGCCTATTATAGTACCAAAATGATGATCAAAGCACTCTATGGCCTTAATCCTCTTTTAGTCCTGACTAGAATACTTCCATGGAGTCCACTCTATGTGTTAATGCAATAATTAATTGAATGTGTCTACTATATCTAGGAGTAATGAACAGGACTCTAGTCTATGTTCTCAAGGAGTCCTGCCAGATACGGAAGGGTAATATGTAACCACAAAAACCCTGTAAAACAGGATTGTCCACATGTCGATTTTATCTGTGCAATCAGGTTAGAGGATATGGCATAGAAAGCACGATTAAGAAGAAAAAACTTTAATAAACCAGAAAGGTGTCATCAGCATGATGCAAATTTGGTCTACATGAACCAACTAGTTTAGTTAAGGAATATATGCCTCAACTCTATTAGTTCCCATAGGAGAATCTCAGCTGTGGCTGTCAATTTGAGCTGACAGACTACAAGCCAAGCCCAGTGATAACACAGGCAGATTGCTTTAGAGCCAGTTTTAAATCTAAGTGGGTCTGGGCCAAAATGTTAATTGTTGGGCACATGAGAAGGAATGCAGGAGATCACTGTACGATGTTTGAAAAGTGTGTTCTGTTTTTGCAAAAGATAGAACACAGCAATGAAAGCAATGCTCCTGGATAACCCCTCTTCCTATGGTACTATCCTCCTGAAAGCACTTTCAAAAAGCTGATCTTGATTTCTGCATAATGCACCAGCTCTTAGAAAACTTCTCCCAACTCATGCATTGCCCCTTGTTGACCATGCCCAATTTTTAAACACTAAGAACTGCACAATTTGAATCATTCCTGCAAGAGTCTGCCTTTTCATGGCTTCATTACTGGATGACTTTGCAGTTGCACAGTAAACAAACTTTAAGAGCCCTTCCGCACAGCCATATAACCCAGAATACCAAGGCAAACAATCCCAGAATATCTGCTTTGGACTGGACTATCTGAGTCCATGCTGACATATATTCCAGTTCAAAGCAGAAAATGTGGGATGTTATTCAGCTGTGTGGAAGGGGCCTTAGGTTTCCAAGTACACATTAATCACCCTACCTCCCAACATAAAATATGGATGACATAATAAAAATGAATTTTGTAATTCCTTAACTTTTCCTCATTATTGCCTTTTCCAAGGGGGTAGTGTAGTTATTAGTGTCAAACCTTAATTTGGGAGTGCAGGGGCTAACAGAAGCAGAAAAAAGTTGGCAAAAATGTATCCAAAGTCTTGAAAACAATAAAGAACTGCTTCTACAACAAAGGAAATACATAATATTAATAATTGCCATAGATGCAGGCGAAACATCAGGAGAGAATGCCTCTAGACCATGGCCATATAGCCCGAAAAACCCTACAACAACCCAGTGATTCCAGCCATGAAAGCCTTCGACAATACAATAATAATAATAATAATAATAATAATAATAATAATCCTTTATTTACATGCCATCCTATCTCCCCGAAGGGCGGTGAACAACAGTCAGCAAACATTCAATGCCATACAAAAGAAACACATAAACAAATAACCATCCCACTGCAAACCCTCGCAGATCCATAATTAAACAAAAAATAAGACTCAATAATAATAATAATAATAATAATAATAATAATAATAATAATAATATAACATGTAATATGTACAAGTCCATACCAATCCATCAAGAAAACAGAGGAGTCAGACCTTAGTATAGTAGCGGGAATAACCTGCAAAACTGTGCAGTTACCTGGGCAAAAGTGGAAATTAAGGCCTGTGCAGCCAGAGATCCTCTCCATCCGCTTGCCAGAAGTTGAATGGGCCACAGCTTGGAGATGAGGAAGTGAAGTGGGGGGAAATGACACCCACAATGTGCCTACAACAATATGTGTTCTTACAAACCTGCAGCAGCAGTGCTTCTGATTTATCACACACTGTCAACACTGTAAAGAAGATCTTTATGGAAGCTATTCATGGGATTTCCCACGTGCATTGAAAAGTAATGACCAAATAATGAGTTGAAATGAGATCAAGTTGACATTGTACGAAACACCATTTTCATTCGTTGTTAAGAAGCCATTTATACATGCTTCAGCCCTCATGCGATAATCTCCTCAGACCCTGGTCTCCTAGAACAGTGGTTCTCGACCTGTGGGTCCCCAGATGTTTTGACCTTCAGTTCCCAGAAATCTTAACAGCTGGTAAACTAGCTGGGATTTCTGGGAGTTGTAGGCCAAAACACCCACAGGTTGAGAACCACTGTCCTAGAGTCTTCATACAACACTCAAATCCCTGTACCACCTACTGCTTTTTAATATTTCCCATTATTCCCATCCTACTCTATATTGCTCCAGTTCATTATGGGTAGT